TGATGCATCTTTTTCCATAAAAGATGCCTCAAAAAAGTTGACATAATATAAAATTGGTGTAGAAATAAATACTAACTTTAAGGCTTCAAAAGATGTTTTAGCTTCTTTATTCTAATTAAGTTTTTCTTTGCACATAAGATATATAAAAAGAATTGCAATTTGAAAAAAAAATCTTAATGAAGATTTGATAATAATTGACAAAGTCCAAAAAGCATTATATATCTCTTATTGTTCTTAAAATCTTCTAATCTATAATAATTTGAACCTTCTTTGGATCCATTATAAGTCCTTTGCTTGAAATGATATATTCTAAGAAGTCAACTTGAGTAGTATGGAATATACACTTTTCTAATTTGGCATACAATCTCGCATCTCTAAGTTTTTGTAATACACAATGAACATGAATTTTATGCTCTTCTATGTACTTAGAATAGATTAAAATATTTTCTAAGTAACAGACAACAAAATCATCTAAAAACTCACTAAAAAAAATCATATATAAGATATTGAAAAGTATTTGGTGCATTTGTAAGTCTAAAAGATATGACATTATATTCAAAGTATCTATACCTTATTCAAAATGTAGTCTTTTATTCATCTCCTTCTTTAAAGCAGACCAAATTGTATGCTCTTTAAAGATCTATTTCTATATAGATCTTAGCTTGATTTAATTAATCAAGAAGTCCAGATATCAAAGATAGAAGGTACCTATTCTTGATGATAATCTTGTTGAGTCTTTGACAATCTATACACATTCACAATGATCTATCTTTTTTCTTCACAAATAAGATAGGAGCTCTTGCAAGAGATTTCAAATAGTGTATGAAATTCTAGGCCAAGTTCTTGTCAATGTACTTCTTGAATTCACCTAATTCATTCTATAATAAATTATAGATTGGATCAAATAGTCATTGACTTTCTTCTTTAAGATTGATTGAGCAATCAAATGGACAATACTTTGGAAGAATATCTACACTCTTCTTCTCAAAAATATCTTTAAAATCTTAATATTGACTTAGAATGCTACTTAAAGTTTTTCCATCATTAAAAATAGATGTGATATAAATAATAAAAGGCAATCCTTCTTTTGCAACATGCAAGAAAGTTTTTATACCTACAAGTATGAGTTTGGCTATACTAGACTTATAGCTTTCTACAAAACTCTTAATAATGCTCTGAAAAAAGTTAAGTTTATGAAAAATCCAATGTATTAGAAGATTATATTTTTTAGCTACAATAAACCTAAAATGATTAGATTAGAGAGAGACCTAATTATATTAAAAATTATGCAACTATTATGACCATTTATTGCTACATTTATAAGAAGTATTTTATGAATAATATCTCCAAAAGATAACAAATGGCCATCTATGACTTCTATGTGTATAAGTTTAGTTTTTTGTATTAACAATATTCTATAGCTTTTAACAAACTCTTCATCTAAAAAACAAGTTGAGGCTCTTAAATCTATCAAGGCAAAGGCTTTGTGGTTATTAGGTCCTAAATACACATCTATTATAATACAAAAAAAGGATTCTGAAGAAAAGATATGACCTTTATTTGTAAAAGATTCCAGCCGCACAATTCCTATTGTAGCTAGGCAAATTTGTTTTTCAAAATTTTTTCATCTTTGATAATCATAATTCTCATTTTGTAGTTGCATTGTTTCTTTGGACAATGTTAAGCAGTGTGCTTAGCTTTTTCACAATATAAACATAATCCTTCTTGACGACGATAAGTCTTTTTTTGTTCAATAAGAAATTTAAAATATGTTGCATCAATTTGCATGTCTTTTATCTTCAAATGTTTAGATTGAGAGGTTATCGATGTTGCCATTAAATTATAATAACATGGAGATTCTCTTGCATGATTCTAAGATTGAAACTCAAAAAGTCGATTGTCACACTTCACAGCAAAGTCAATTGCTTGACTCAATATCTAAGGATCAGATAAGTTGAGCATCAATTTCTTTACTTCATATTGTAATCTATAAAAAAATTAGTTGATAAAGGCAACATCATCCCACTTAACATCAATTTCTAATTGTCAAAATTATAAAGCATATCATATCACTGATTGATTGTCTTATTATAAGATACAAATCTTATTGGTTTCAACACAAATTACATCATGTTCTTCATATGTAGATCAAAATTCCATCAAAAAAAGCCTATAAATTATCCAATATTAGATCTTATTGTTGAAGAAAATATGAAAATAATAATAATACCAAAATTGAAAGAAATATATCAATGAATTTAACTTGTGGTCCTCACATTGGATAGTTTTGAGATTGAAGTTCAATTACAAGTTGTATTTGATTGATAAACCATAATTAAATGATGTTCTACTATAGAAGAAAGAATGTGATTTGATTTAGATGTTGAAGTGGCTCCAATCATGTCTGTATCTTCACTTCCTATAATTTTTGTTGTTCTTAGTGGCTATAAACTGAGTTGATGCATGAAAAGTATTAATATTCTCAATTGCTCTTGTATTTGTATTATTGTACTCTTTATTTTAAGAAGCTCTGCCATGATAACACTTAGAAAAAAAAATTCTAATATCACTCAAAACAAGCAAAAGAGAGGACTTGAAAACAAAAAAAATATTAAAAATAATATTAGTTTAGAATAAGATAATCTACAACTTCTAATACGCTTATGTCTTATGAAGAAAAAAAAGATAATTTACTCTTAGTCAAGAAAAGATAAATTTCTAATATTATAACTGTACTCTTGTCAATTTGTCAAGGATATGAATTAAAAAAAGATGTATAAACCTATGAAATTCACATCAAAAGAAAAATGAAAAAATAAAGATAACGAAGTATGTATATTAAAAGAAAACTAAAATGGCTATTGCCAAATGATAAAAAAAACTAAAGATTCTTGAATTTAAACCAAAAATAAAAAATAAAAATTGAAAAGAGTAAAGAAGGCTTCACTCTTGCGTCTATATATATTATCTACCTAAGATCTATGTGGCGACATTCTATAAGACCTCTAAAAACATGTTGACTTTGCATGATACATATCTTCACTTGCAAGGAAAATTTTCTATATAAGCACCACACAATTAGCTTATTCCACAAGCTACTAACATATGTGGCACATGATTAACTTGTTGACTAAGTTTCTAACTAATTAACTATAAATACATGTAAAGTCAAAATAGCATCTGAAAACTTCTTGGAAGCTTCTTTAGAAGATATTATGAAATTAACTTGCTTCTGTCTATTCATATTGCTTAAATAACAAATACAATAGATATATATATCCATGATAAGATGTCATCTTTAATGAAAAGATATTAGAATTAAAGCATATTGTACCAACAAAACTTAGAATATTATATGCAAAAATATTATTGGATAGTAAAAAAAGAATTCTAATTAATTTTAATTTAAGATATAATTATGATGAATCTAAAGTAATTGTTGATATCTTATTGCCACTCAACACCTCTACATTCCAACCTTGTTCTGATAGAACATCATCAATATTAGCCATAAAAAATAATATTGTTGCAATATCATTACTAATTATCTAATAATCAATACAACTTAGATTCTTAATATTCCAATATGAAGACTACATTTACATCATAGATCTCAAAGTTCCAACATCAACTGAAGAAGGAAGATAATACTCCAAATGAATAAGAACAATAGACAATGAACTTGTATCAATACAAAAGAATGACATTAGAGAAATAGTAATACTATTGCAAGATAAGACACCAATCACATCAAAATGTGTATTTAAAACCGAACTTACTATTGATGACAAGATTAAAAAATTAAGGGCAAAACTAATTGATCAAGGGTTTGAGCAAAAAGAAAGAATGGACTACCAAGTTGGCAAGGTTGATAAATTAAAGGCAAGACTAGTCATTCAAGGATTTGAGTAAAAAAATAAAAAAAAAAGTGGAGTACTAAGACACTCCAACTCTGAAATGGCTGACATTCAAAGTTGTAGTTACCATTACTATAAAAATCAGTTGGTCTATCAAGCACCTCAACAACCAAACTAGATTTTTAAATGGTGATCTTAATAAAGAGGTGTATATGGAAATATCCCAATGACTACTTCTCTCTTCTAAGGACCAAGAGAAAGTTTGTTTATTCAAAAAACAGATTTATGGATTAAAGCAAGTCAACAAAACATGGTATATTAAAATTTGTCTATTTCTTATAGATTTTGCTCTTACTTACTAGGAGCAATGCCGATCATAATCCATATTTGTGTAAAGGAGAAGATTTTATGTTAATAGTATTGATTTAGGTTTAAAGAAATTATGCAAACAATTTGCCGGAAAAGTTTGGAATGCTGGATTGTGCTCCCGCAGCCACCCCAACGGAAGAAGGCATTCGACTTTTCCGCAGCATGGATGCTAAACCCACTGACACTACAAACTACCAAAGCCTTGTTGGAAGTTTAATATATCTTATATATACAAGGCTGAATACTTCATATGCTGTCAGCCACCTCAGTTGGTTTATGAGGGCACCACAACAACCACATTTGGCAGCAGCCACACCAGTGCTTTGCTACATCAAACCCACAATTAAATAGAGTACATTCATATTAGTTGAATCCAATGCAACATTGACATGATTTGTAGACTTTGACTGAAGTAGAGGCCTAGACAAAAGAAAATCTACAATTGGCATGATTTTCAAAATTGGAGACACTAATACACTTGAATAGTATACTCCAGCCTACAATTGCCGTTTTAACCACTGAAGCGTTATCCGATGGAGCAAAAGAATTTACATGGATTAGAATACTTTTAATTGAGCTAGGACAGCAAATGAGGGAACCCACAACTATGTTTTTGTGATAATCAGAGTTTCATTAAGTTAGTCAAGAGTCCGGTATTACATGCGCTAACAAAACATATTAAGCTATAGCACCACTACATAAGGAAACGCATAGAAGACAATTAAATTAAGGTGTACTATACACATACAAATGAGCAGCAGGAGGATTTGTTCATGAAACCACTTAGAAAAGTGCAATTTCAGCAGATGAGATATAAAATTGGAATTTATGACATTGACGAGCTCTGAAAGAGGACCTCACCAAATCACCTACTCCAACTATGAAACATGTTTTCTTTTTTCCTTCCTCCTATTTTTCCTGGGATTTTCTTTTCCCCACTAGAGACCTTGTTTGGAGTAAGAGAACTCCCGGTCTCAAAATTACTTATATCCTCATCTAGCATAATACAATATCTTCTAAGCTCCATCCTATAGTGTGGAACTATAGAAAGGGGCATTTCATTCACAACATGTCTACAATAATACAAATAGCCTTCCTTATCAAGTTTTAGAAATACTACGACTTGCCAATCCAGTGAAGAATCAACCAGATGACGCCATGCTTGAGAAATCAACCTCAGTCGAAAGAAGGTGAAAGGAGATTCATATGCTGCGAGCTTTGGCCATACGAGAGCACACACAACCTTATTTGAAAGACCAGGCACCGAATCACTCATCAACACAATCGGATAAGGTACTTCCACCTAAGAAATGCTTCCCAAGTTGACAAGAGTTGTATCCCCTAAGCTTCGACATTGCTCCTCAAACCAACGGCAGATTGAGTTGCAGCAGCGCTGAAGAAAGGAGAACACGAACCAAACTGAGGAAAAGAGACTGTAGGTGCACAAATGAAGCAAAACATGCGTCAATTTAAAGGGAAGACAAAGGAAAGAAGGGCAGGGGGCGCGAAAAACTCAATCATTACGAGGCTCAGCGCTCACCATATTGAGTTGATGGAATTGATAAAACATCGCCAACATCGTCCGCTCACCGACAACCGCCCGCAAATCCACCATTCTGACACTTCATATTCGACAGAATGGACAAGAGAATCATAATGTGTAAGAGAGGATGTTGCGACAAGTCACATATACACCTTTCTATTCACGACGTAAGACATAAAGTATAATTTTATTACCATAGGTATATTGCCACTTGTACATACAAACTTTTTGGCGGATAAAGAGGAGCCGCATAGGATAAAGTGATTAAAATCACTTTATTCCATAATCCAACTTGAGAACTACAACCATAAGGGTAACTTGTTCTAATTAGCATCGACAATATCTCGATTGTTACACTCTTAGTTCTGCATAGTAAAGAACTATCTTTCTACAAATCATTTCGTGTGTGAGCGTGTTCTCTTTTTTCTGTCTGTACAGAACTGTGAGTCATCAAGTGTGAAGAACTGCATCGTAAGCTCTGAAGGAAAACGTGCGAAATTGAGTGGTTCTACCCATGCGAGGACTTGAACTCATTCACCTCCATCTTCAATCAACACCAAATGAATCGTCGAGAACCTGAAGTTGAAGTAAACGAGTTCATGCTCATTCTGAAGCACTTGTCATCTCTATCTTACCAATAGTCTACATTCACTTCTGTGTAATGGCTCGGATTGGCTGACACGGTAGTCGGAGGTTATCGTATTAAGACAGTCGGCTACTTGGAGACCTCCAATATGTTCATTAGAAACTCGAACATTCATGTAAACTCTACGTCTACTGTAGGTTTTGGAGATCGCATCAGATCAAGAGAGAGAGCCAAACGAAGGCCCAGATCATGTACATGACCGGCAGACTAAATAAGTAAACATCTACAAGGATGAGCTACATCCATGGATGAGTGGTACTGTTACAAGGGTTTGACCCATTCCAACATCTACAAGGTTTGGTCGTGTTCAAGTTCGTTCCAACAGGGCGACGTAAACTGGTCGCGATTCGTGGCTCAATAGCAATAGGAAGAAACCACCACGGACATAACTAGAGGGTAGCCGGCTGAATTTGTACCCTACTCAGTTCATTGCACATGACGGTTTCTCCGAGCGCATGAGATTCGCTTATTACAGCAAGAGTTCAACGATCATGCAAACAATTGCCGAAATACACCAACCAGAGGAGTAGGTAGAAGCACAGCGTTTGGGAGTTTCTCACGATTACATCTCACTTGGATCAAACGATTGTTTTAGTTATGCACAAATCTTCATTCGGGGCTGAAATTTCCATTGCTTAAATAGATAAAACAGAGTCCCTCAGGTCCTTTACACTCCATTGACGTACCCAAGTGAGAGAAATCGTGCTCCAGACCTACACTCAACACAACACCACCCAGTAAATCCACTTCTGCCATCGAACTCAGGCAGTTCCACTCACTCGACGACTTCAATCAAACAAACTGTCGTCAGTGGACTCTTGTTCAACAAAGACATCGTTGATGCCAGGGATCCTCTCCAACTCGCACAATTGTCATAAGCACACACACCGAGAAACTAACACAGACCTTCATGCAAATGGTCATGACAACAACAACAACGACATACGAAGTATACAAAAACATAAAATCAACAAAAACAACGTGGACTCTCTACGGCCAACTAGTTAGGAACACTGTGGAATCTAAGCAGTGATGCTGAAGTGATGTAAAAATCTTGCATCGGTGATAAAGCATTAAATTTCATGGACGTGAAGATCACCGAGTCTCAGATCATGCGCGTCTGATCAGATCCTCGGCGTCGCTGAAGGGCGGTGACGGTGGCGGCGCCGCCAGAGTTTGTAACTGACTGTGTTAAGAGGACCGAAAGTTTAGCGTTGAGCTATCATATAAATGATTCACACAACCTCTCACCCATTCTCTTAATCATGATAATCTTACAATAATACGGTGGTAGTTTAACTACAACAACAACAATCATGATGTTCATAAATGTAGTTGTTGTCATCCAAACGAAAAACTGCTTGTTTTAGAATTTTAGTCTCTGTTATTGTTGTTGTTGGTACTTTCTACCCACTTTTAACATTGTATGGAAACCTCCTAATGGACATGAAATCTTCCAATTAAAGTCACCAAATCTAAAATGTCTTGTGCTAGATCGTGATTTGAAATGCAGTTTTCATTCAATTTTTGTTACGAAGTCCTCTGTGATTCTAGAACTTCGCTTGAATGAGTGAGTGCGCTCAAAGTTAGGAAATATAATGGCTCAAATTTTTTGTATCATTTTGAGGCTTGTTAGAGAAATTTGACAATGGTTTTGGTGTGCATTAATCTATATTATAGCTATAACTACAACTATTACTTAATGTTTTCTGTTGTTGAAATTGTTTCTTATTTTAAGATTTGACTCTTTCTTTTTCGTTGACTCTAAAAACTGCTTGTGTAAAATTACATGTAATTTGTATATCTCATTAAAAATATATGTTCAGACAAACTGCTGATTTATTTAGATGTGGAGGACTTTATATAATAAATACCAGTGTTGAAAAACAAATGTACAATTGCCCAATCTACAGTATTTTTATGTGTTTTCATTCGGCAAAAGAAATTATATCTTTTTATTTTAGTATTATTTTGTATTTCTGACGCACTTTCTTTTTTAGAAATTAAGAACACATCTTAATATCTTGTTGTTTCCTTACAAGTTTTTTTCAAAAGAAAATGTCTTTGTTTTTGGAACTTGAATATTTTGTTGCTCTTTTATTGTTGATTTTGTATAATAAGCTATAAGTTGTCATCTAATGTAAAAGCATAAACAATATTATTATTAGTAAGTGACATCACAAAATGATTTAAAATCTAACTATTTTTTTGAAAAAAATAATTCATTACTATTAGCTTATCAATATGTAACTAAAAAATATATAATTAAAAATTTATATAAAACTGAAAATAAACAAAAAAAAAATTGAATCTTGAATTACATATTTCTATAGAAAAAGAAAAAAAGAATATATATATATATATATATATATATAACTTTCTTTTTAACATTGAAAGCTACTTAAAACTAGTGAAAAAAGAAAAAAAAGAAAAATACAAGAACATGAAGTCCTCATTCTTCTTTTTTTTCAAATTCATGACTATTCAGAAGTAATAATAAATTAATTAATCAATACAAGTTGAGTTGCATGAACTTTTGAAGAGGTTCAAAACTTTTCTTGGAGAAGCAAGATATAAGTAGTCCAATATCTGAAATAATTTAATTTAAAATAAAAATAAAATAAAATAAAACCGCTAACACTAATAATCGTGTGATTTTATGTCTCATCTGAAAACATTATAAAATACTACTTATTTCTTAATAACTATTGCTACAATACTTAATATAAAAACTATGAACACAGTAAGATTAGTGCAGCACAAAGATAGAAGAACTTGCATTAAGAAAGATTGTGGGTTGTACAAGGACTACTTTCTCTTCTTTTAACACTATGTACATTATCCTAAATTAATTATATCAACTGATCGTTATTACTATCACATTAAAAAGAAAGGCAAAAAATAAAAAAAATAAAAAAAGGAAAAAAAAAGAAGTAAGTGTTCACATTATTTTGAATACTTTGAAGGAGATCAAGACATTTAAGATGTGTACTGAAAATTGATTGTACATTAACATTAGAGGAACACAAATAACATGGGTCCAGAGCCATCCTTTCATCCATCCATCCATCCATCCATAGTTTCATATCTTCATTCATCCAAGTCTTGTAGCATGGAAAATACAAGGTCATGGAGCACATCAAAAGATCAAAGGGCTCCATTATTGGAACCCTTTAGAGAAAGAGAAAGCTACCATTCATTCGTCTATTAATTCATTCACTCATATGTTCATTCATTCATTTATTCATCCATCCACCTGTCCCTCTTGTCTACATTAGACTTCAGTTCCCCTTTTTGCATTATTTTACGGTTTTTTTGACAATTTTTTACTCTACTATTTTTTTTTTCTTCTAATTCTTGCTACTTTTTAATGATTTTGTAACGAGTAGAATTATTCTTTCCTTTTTGAGGAAATGGTGCTAAAATGATTTTATAGTGTAATCAAATGAGTTTGGCAATATGGATAAGAGTAGAGATGTGGTAGCTTTATGGTGCAAGAAAACTTTTTTTATTTTTTATTCTTTACTCTTTAAATAATAAACTAAATTGGGTATGCCCAGTCCAGAGTATTGTTTTCTTTGATTAAATACATGTATAATAAATTACAGAATTTAATCTTATATTTCACATTTCTAATTCAGATGGAATGAAACCAACATTGCAACGTTTCTATCAATTTTAACTGTGATGTTTGTTGCATGAGATTCCTTGAAAAAGAAAAAAACCAATAAAATATTGGTTGAGGATATTTTTAAATTTTTTCAGAAAACTTAGAATAAATATTTAAAAAGCAATTAAAACTAACAACATATGTATTTAAATTTATTAAAATTATCATTTCTTACAAATTTGATTGTTATTGTTTTTTTTTCCATTATAGAAAATAGATCTAAATTTTAAATCAATTATTGGCTTGACAATTGAGTATGACTTGAGTAAAATTATTCAAAAACAACACATAGATATAAATAAACCAAAATTTTAACCTCAACCAACATTGCCAAGTCTAAAGCATTGTAATGTCAGTTATTTTTGTACAAAAAGCTTCAAGTGCAACTGTACAGGATGTTGAAAATGATAAGTTTTAATGAAATTGTACACAACATTGAAATTTCCAAACCTCAAGTGTGGTTGTTGAAATTCCTAAGCTTCATTTTTTGAATGTCCTTAAGATATTGAAAGCTGATAAAAATAGAAGTAATTTTTATAATTAGTGCTCATGAACAATAATTACAAACTATTATATTTATCTTTATAAACTTGTTCTTTCAACAAAGATGAAACGCAGCCTATATTGAAAGTAATATATATGAAATAATATAAAATATATGTTTTTATATTTAGCCTATATATAAAATAAATGTATATTTTTAACAATATGATTGTTTTTACAATTTTTATGTAAAAACCCATTATTGAAGTTTGTATGATTTTTAAAAATTAACGGGTTGTAAAATATAGTAACAAAATAAATTGATAAAAATGTCATTACTGTGTGACATGTTGATTTTTTTTTAATAAAGATTTATAACAACATAGTCAAAGGCTTTCTTTGTGTCATGACCCATCGCCGCCATGCAACCTCGTCGACTTTGACTCACACTCATTCACACTCTCTCTTTCTCATACACACCAGCATGCATACAAAAAGCTTACTCACAGATCGAGGGGGACGGAGGATGAAGGAACAAGGAAGAAAAAAATAATAATTAAAATAAAATAAAATGAGGAAGGACAAGGTGCAAGGTCTGCTCTGGCAGTTCCGCAGTGGGTGCGGTGCCGCGGAGGAGAGCCACAGCCGATATCGTGCGAGCTGAGGAATCCATAGTCGAAGCAGCAACAGCAACAGAAGCCCAATCAGCGGCAGGAGCAGAAGAAGAAAGCATCAGTCAACAGGCTGCTATGATGTAAGAGCCGGTTGCACTGATTCCAACGCTGCCAAGAGAGAGAGAGAGAGAGAGAGAGAGAGATAGATAAACAGAACAAGAAGAAATGAGGAAATGGGAAACTAGAGGAAAAAGAAAAATAGAAGAAGAAAAGAAAAATGAGCACGGATCTCCAGCACACACACACACACACGCACACACCCTTTTGTGCGGTCAATGCGACTTCAGGGTATGATACTCCCACGTACTCGTGAGATTTTCATCGGTTCCTGGTGGAATCGCTCATTTCAAGCAACGGGAGGTAGTAGTCTTCCCAGTAGGGCGTGACCCACTTTCCAGGTGAGGCCATGCTATGCAGCTCACGGCATCTGCTACGGATTTCGTCAGCTGCTGATCCGTCGCGGCAGCCCACACCGCATTGACTACGCCCTCCCATCAGTGCAAGTCAATGAGATATGTGTGTTTGTGTGAATGTGTATGTGTGTGGATTGGCAACCATGGTGATGGATTCGATCACCGCTTAGATCACCACATAGGCTCCCGCAGAGCAGTCGCGTACAGTGTTGCCTTTCTGTTGTCCACCGTCTTTACGTGAGCTTTTCGTTGGCAGGCAGGGACATTTTGCAGCTAGGTAGCTAGCCGGCCCGAAGGCTCAGAATTGTCACCCTGATGATCTCAGTTTCGCATTCCAAAATTATTTACACGTAAAAAATAAAAATCGAATTGTAGAACTAGTTAAATTTTACATTAGTAGAAAGTTTTTTCCTAACAAAAGTCCATAACCCATTGCGGGTTGGCTTTAAAACTATTGGATTGAGTATCGTACATGACTCAGTGTTTCAAAAGATAGAATTACATGAATTTCGCGAGAAATTGAAAGCCGAACTTGTCAAGTGATTTATTAATATATAAATTATGCACCTTTGATATCTCACCGAAAATGACAACTGGGTATGCCAATAACCCAATCGTCTTGCACAATTTTCCTCCTTCAACGTTTGAAAATGGAAGCCAATCACTCGGTTCGCCGAAAAATAAGAATACATGTTCATATATATATATATATATACATATATACATAAATAAATGTGCGCGCCTCTGCCGAGACGCATGTGTGGAGTCCAGATCATCCACCACGGCAAGCGAAATACGTGGAATGGTGGGCATTAAGTTTATACAGTATGAGTTGACTCAGCTGGGTGCCTGTCAATAACAGAGAGAGTATATGATTTCGTTACTCTGCCATTCACTGACTCATCTCCTCCTTCAGCCTTCATCTTCTCCACCTCGCGGACTATTCCTGACCCTCTCGGTAGGCGCGTATTTATTCAACACAACGGAAGCCTAGATTTCTTGACACGCAGGAAGCACTGTTGTGAATCATGTCGCAATCGCTGTAGAGTTTCGACATTGTGAAGCTGGTGTGGATGAGATTGAGGCGGTCGAGTGCTGCAGCTCTAGACAAGGGAGAATTGGTCTGGGTATGGACCGGAAAGAACATGGTTGGGTGCTCGGTGTTGCTGGAAGCGTCAGGATTGGTTGCAAGAGCGGCGAGGGACGACTGATATAAAGGAGGGGAATTGGAGCTTAGATGCTGTGAAAGAGGAAGAGTGTGTGAAAGAGGAAGTGTGTAGGAATTAGAAGTACATGGGATTAGATATGGCGCTTGGCTCTAGCCTGCAGGTGCAGGAGAGGACGCAACTGAAGCTGCAGCTTCCGCACCAGGTGATCGTCCCGGCGTTTTTTCTGTGCCCCATATCGCTGGAGCTGATGCGGGATCCCGTGACGTTATGCACAGGAATGACGTTCGACCGCGCCAGCATAGAGCGGTGGCTGGGACTCGGGCACAACACGTGCCCTGCGACTAATCAGATTCTCGAGAGCCAGGAGCTCATTCCAAATCATACTCTTCGACGTCTCATTCAGAACTGGTGTGTTGCCAATAAGGCTTACGGCGTGGAGCGAATCCCAACTCCGAAAGCGCCGGCGGAGCCAGGCGACGTGAAGCAGTTGCTCGAAGGCATCGGTCAATGTGAGGAGGTGGGGTGTGATTCCTTGAAGAATCTGTGGAGTTTAGCGAAAGAGTGTGAGCGCAACAGGAGGTGCATTGAGAAAGTGGGGGCGGTCCCCATTCTCGCTAAGGCTTTGGCCCAACTATGGGTGGGCATGCGCTACTCTGCGGGTTGCAACAGGGGTCGGGAGGTAGCTTGTGAAGAGGCATTGGCCACAATCGCGCTGCTTCAGCTTGACGATGGCGACAGGAGGGCTCTGGTTGCTCCAGAGTCACTCGAGTGTTTGGTATTTCTCCTCACGTCCGGAAGTCTGGACGCGAAGTTAAACGCGGCCGACGTTATTCATACTTTGTGTGAGGAGGATCCTCATGTGAAAACTGCCGTGGCTAGCCTCCCTGGAGCCATGAAAGGGCTTGTAAACCTCCTCAAGGATGATTTGTGTCCAAGAGCAGTCCAGGCAGGTTTGCGGTGCTTGTTGTGTGTCTGCCTTCCCCGAAGTAACCGTGTCATGGCCATTGAGTGTCGAGCTATAAGCGTTGTGGTGGAGCTTTTGCCGAACACCGAGAAGAGAACCAAGGAGCTGGCATTCGCGGTTATGGAGATTCTCGCTAACTGCGCCGAAGGTCGGGAGGCGATCTCCAACCACGCCCTGGCCATCCCCATGATAGTCAAATCAATGTTGGGCGTCTCGCAACGCGTTACGGAATGCGCTGTGTCGACCTTGTGGGTCGTTCTTTCCTACGCCTCCAACCGAAGTGTTACAAATACGGCGTTGCAAGCAGGAGCATTCGCCAATCTGCTCATGTTACTGCCTGGCGAGTGCAGCCAGCGCGCGAAGCACAAAGCCCGGGACAGCTTGAGGCTCCTCAACGAGAACTGGGGTAGCTACACTTGCAGACCCGCCGACGAAGCTCGCATCATCAACAAGCGAGACTTGGGTCAGCTGCGATTTAAGACCGATCTAGTGTAAATTTTTAGTGCCACCTTTTTTCAGGTTCCAGGAGACAAATGTAGCTCCAGTTCATTTGTTCGAAGACCAAGTGATTGCACATCTTGGAGCGCCACGTTACTGTTATTCTTTTAGGGCGCTGTGATTACCGCGACCTTCACCAGATTGTATAGCTGTAGAACATTAAATTGATGGAAAAATTAAAAAATGGAAAAAAGAAACGGCCTTTCTGACTCCTTCCAGAACTGGATTCGTTTTTTTTCTTTTCTTTTCATTAACCGGCAGGATCGATGTTGGGGTTTTTGCATTCATGAGACAAAAATTTGCCATGTCCCATTCACAAATACACTTCAGGTCGTTAATTCCACTGCTTGAAGTTTTCATAAACATAGGTCTGACTATAACTGGCCGCCATCTCTTTAGCCATGCAATTTTCCAGGCTTTGATTGACGCTAAGTCGCTTAGACCTTCGTGTCACCCATCTCTGCGACAGTTTCAATAGTTGCCTGCTCCGAGCAACTTGTTTCATCGCCGACAGGAGGTTGCTTCATTCTTCGTCCTTCGCCAGACGGATCTGAAGCTGCGTCTCAATGTCCGGACCCACCCCCCCTTCCAGGATTGCGGGAATTAATCTCCTATCAAACCATCCAAGAGTTTGGATAATCTATTCAGAGGGTGGACTGCGAGTGCAAACGATACCGTCTGAGCGATACCAGCTCACACGATGCCATCACCTGAGCGATCGTGTTGACTCAAGCCGAGATTGCACGGCTCCAAACACTTAACCTTTTAAATGCCCTGCGTTGATAATGTGAGAGAGTTGATTATTCGATTTCAGCTGCCATTAAATTCACCTCCCAAGCCACGCTCACTGTTGAATTGCTGCACCTGTGGAAGCATTCGAACTCTCACGTGAGCTTGCTCCAGTTAGGTTACTTCTTCGTGGTTGAATGCCTCATCGTCTGTGCAACCCTGATGGCGCAGCTGTTCGGGGCTCATGAAGACGGGACATGGATGCAAATTATTGAACTGAGGATGTGGTTTTTCAACGTCTGTCAGGGAAATTCAACCAGACTGTTTCCTTGACGTGCAAGCCCCTCGAGGCATTTGAGGGTATTCCACCCGCTCAACAGATGCTGTGTCGCTGTGCGGGCTCTGCTGTGATGCAGTAGCCTGCAGCCGATGGATGATTTCGTCACTTTCTTCTAATCTGACTGCTCAGTCTGCAGCCAAGGTGAAAAGTCGTGATGGATTGCGGAGCGTAGCGGCCCGAAGTTTACATCGAAACATACATCTACGATCTCCTACAGTGAGATGAGTCCCAGTTCAATTATCCAGCGTACACCGGCCAAAATGGATTGTACTCTTAAGCATACGAAAGCAAATGAGTGCCGCCTGTACTTCTACAAAGCAGGTCAAACCTAATCAAGTTGTCACCTTTCACGTTGAAAAACACTGTAAAACCAGGCCAGTGGAATTGTCTGCACATGATTTGACATCACATTATCATGCCAATGCCGAGCGCAGGTTGACCCTCAGTGGAGTGAGTGAATTACCTTGAAGTCACTCACAACCCATCATAAGATTGCTGCAGGGCATGAGTTATGGTTGGGAGACAACTGCCATTGATGATTGTCGAACCAATGTCCATGGCTACGATGCAGGCAGCCTGGCAATTCCTAATAAGTTCAATGCTCATCCCCACTGTTGAGCACTCCTCACATGATTTTTACGCTGCCACCTACTTGTCGATCTCATTACTGCTGCCATAGGGGGGTACACTGTCTTTACAGTGGGGTATTGATCGCTTGCTGGTGGTGGCATGCCGGAGGGTGTCACGAGCATGTGGGGACGTATCATGACGCTGGCGGAGTTGCTAACTTCCCTTGCCCCCTGTTTGTAGCCATTTCGTGCAGCATCCGATTAATGCCGATATCAAGACCAACGCAGCGCATTAGGTCGGGGTGAATAGTGAGCTAGGCGTGATTGGTTTCCTGCAATCAAGTGATCACTCCACTGATGAGCAGCCCTGCTTGACTTTAACCCCAACTTAAGGCCTGTCAAGGGTGTGAGGAGCATTCCCCACCCTACATCACTGCCACTGCCAGGCGTGGTACCACGTACAACCCCAACCAGGTCAAAACATCAATCACCCAGTATGGGTCAATAGCCAGGTCTACTCATAATGGAGCTCAGGGAACAGGAGAGACGGTAAGCTTTCATTCTCCTGAGGTTTTATTACACAGACTCCATGACACTGCTGATCGCGTCAGGCTGGCGAGTAACAACAGCCCTGGCCCCTAGCCAGTCGTATTTCGCAGACAAGACAGACGACGCGACAGCGGATTCCAACACCGGATCGATCCGGCGGGTGAGTGGCCAAGTCAACAGCCTGCCTGCCTGCTCTTCACCCACCGTAATCGTTTGCCTCCTCTTGCATTCTCGCTCCCCCTCCACAATCGCGATTGACTTGCGGTGCCTGCTATCTGCGAGTGGCCATCACCACGATTGCCTTGTCTCGAGGGTGTGGTGGCTCTCGGTGTGATCCTGCAGCAGTAATGGCCCTCCTGCATTCTGTTCCTTCATTCACCCGCCTTCGCTTCTGCTTTTGCCTTTGCCTTCTCCTTCACCTTCGATATGGCGCCTGCTTGATCTGCTGGACCTGAGCTCTTCCGGGTTCGAATCCTGCTCTGCCTCGCATTGTCTTGTCTTCTTATTCTTGGCTCATTCTCTGCCATCACCATCTGCGAAAAATGGATCTAACACATCACTTTTTCTTTTTTTGCTTTTTTTCATTTTGACGCAAATAAAGGTTTAACTTTACTGCAGAGATAGTGTACAACCTCCAGCCAGAGAGGTAAGTTAGTACCTTCTTAAATACAAAATCTACTACTAGGACCTACCAGTTTCCAGACTGGTTTAGAATGCTGCCATGATGCCATTATGTTCTCCGCGCACCATTTTTGATAGAACCTCTAAATGAGCTCCTCCGCATGTGTTGGATTACTTTTAATTTGCTGTTAGGTTTTGGACCATGCATTTCTTCCATAATCTACTAGGTGAAACCATATCTTTTGGCATAGCTTCACACTCGGCCAGTGGATGCCATTAAATGCGGTGTCATTTCTATTGATCCATCACTCATGTAATGACACCGCGCAATAGTAACCACACTCTATTTGGCCTTCTGAACCTTTGTGGAATCCTATACGCGAAAACACAATGTTTCCAAGAGGGTGAAAAATTCCCAAGACTTGGATTCTGTTGTTGAGTATTTCTTGGATTTCGCCCTTGTCTTAACTAACTTGCGCGATCGTCATCAGAGGACCTACGGTGTCCATACTCCACCCGCTGCCTCGCCCTTGTCGCAGTCCTCGGTGAGAGAAGTTGTAGAATATGGATGCCCCACTTCCATGCTTTGATCGCTGAAGCTTACTCCCATGTGGGGCAACATTGGTCTACATTGTTACCCACCCGGCTTTTCCACAAGTTAACAGCCACGGCCCTATGCCAGGTTAACGACAACAAGCTCGTTTCCTTCCTTACCCGTTCCTTATCCCGTACATTCGCCCATTTCATTTTGAAATTGAGAGGAAGAATTCCATCCCATTCTTTTCTCGGCACATCCTGTGTTTCATGATGTTTCCGCAGCAGCGATCTGCCCAGTTTAGCTGGGTAGTGTATAAATGGAACTCCTCCTTGCCATTGGAATCGCTCAGGATTCCATCTTAATGAGTCGACCCTCCCGTAACACAACATGCAAATCTTTTCATGGGGCTATTTTTTCGTAGGCAAGATTCTTACTCTTTAGAAAATCCCACAAGCGAGGGTTAAGTCTTGATCTTCTCGCCTCATTCCTTGAAACTGGAGTTCTCTGTCTCATCTTGAAATTTGGCTAGTCACAGTGTATAATTTAACCATCAATGGAATCCAGAATTCTGTCTCTCATATTTGCCTGGAACTCACGACACAATTGCCACACTACCATAAGATGATGGGCCTATTCAGAGTGGAACAGGCCAGCCCATTCTTGCACTTTTAACTGTGTGACAGGGCCAATTTTTGAATATCTTTGATAGATGCAAGAGTAGCTTCTTTTCATAATCATTGTATTAAAGCCTTCTATTATAATGAGGAAAAGATAAGAAGCTAAAAGATGGCCTTGCCTAATCTTTCTTTTGATTGAAAAGAATTTAGTCTTAGAGCCATTTATCTTTATACTAGCTTTTGCATTTATAATTAATTGTCAAACCATTTAAATAAATTTGAAGGAAAAGCTCATTTTTCTATCAAAGTAAACAAAAATTTCCACTTAACTATATCATATTCTTTAGAAAAATCTAATTTCAAAAAGATGAGTATTTAATTCGACTTCTTTGTTGATTCCATAGTCTCATGCTTGAATAATAATTTATCTAAAATATATCTATGGATAAAAAAAAGCCAATTGATCTATGCTGATAATATTCATAAGAATTGGTTGAAGGTAGATTTATAGATCTTTTGCATAAATCTTGTAACTAAAATTAAAGAGAGTAATTGGCCTTTAATTATATAAGTCATTCCAAGGTCCCTTCTTATGTAATAATGTTATTAATTCATATATCATACTTAAAAAAAATCAACCATAGATGATGCTTTTTTTTATTATAATTAAATATTTTTGTCCAAAATATAATTATATCTCAAAAAAGTTGATAGAATTCAAAAATGACACCATTTAGGCCTAGAGATTTATCTATGTACATCACCTACATAGCATTTGTAAATTCTCCCAATGAAAGTGTATTTTGTAAACTTGCTTTTGTTGATGGATCAGGCTTCTCAATCATGTCGAACACAACTTAGTAATTAGCTTCTTATGTGAATTAATCAATTGATTGTATTGTATATAATTTTGCATAAATATTTTAGTATAGGTATACTAATACTTTGGGATTACTATGACCTTGATTCTATGTGCCCAATAATTTAGAGATGTGCATTCTTAGTGGGTCTAAAAGAAATTTTTGGTAGAATGGTTGCTTTCTTTCTACCACTTCAACCAAATACAAAGAAACTAGTCATTTGTATTTTTTTTTCTTATGGATCTATATCTATTCAATGTTATATGTAAGTTGTGTCTACGAGGTTGTTTCTTCAAAATGTTATTGAAACTGAGCAAATAACTCACCTAATTCCTTATATAAGTTGTTCTTAATCCATTGCCTCTTTGTTGCCATGCTTATATAATAGATTTTGTAATACTTAATACATCAATGCAATCTTTTAAAAAAAAAAGGAA